AGATCCCTGGGGACGCGGGCAACCAGATCCCTGGGGATGCGGGCAACCAGATCCCTGGGGACGTGGGCAACCAGATCCCTGGGGACGTGGGCAACCAGATCCCTGGGGATGCGGGCAACCAGATCCCTGGGGACGTGGGCAACCAGATCCCTGGGGATGCGGGCAACCAGATCCCTGGGGACGTGGGCAACCAGATGCCTGGCAGCCCTAACACCACCCCTGTCCCCCCCACCCTGCCCTGGACACCCCCGGGACGACTCCTGCCCACCCGGCTTCAGCCCCTCACGGCTGCAGGGCTGCCCTTTCCTCCCGGGCACAGCCACCCCCCTGCAGCAAAAGGGCACCTGTGCTTTGAAGGAAGGAAAGGCTGAGGGCTGCAGGGATTGCTGCTGGGAAAACACAGAAATCACCCCCCTCAGCCCCTCGCATCTATAAATTATTGAGCTAAAGTACAATATTTTACATTTTTAAGCACCAGCAGCGTTGTTAAGTACGTTTAAAAACAAAAATTATCCACGCGCAGCAATGGCTCTGGTCTGATTTGGAGTCAGCTAAAAAACCTACGCCAACAGGTGTGAATTTGCGTAGATTATTTCAATATAGCAGCAATTTCCAGCTATCGAGCCGAACCCAAATCTCAATTAGATTACTTAAACCGGCCTCTGCCTTTTCAGTTTTCCACAGATACGGTGTTACAGGGTTCACATTTGTTAGAGCAGACAGATCCAAATCGTGCCAGCGCAGAACCGGGCGCAAATGCAGACGCAGCGCCAACAGCCCGCGCCGGCACCTGCCGGGTGTTATCTCAAATACTCTGGTATTTTTTTTCTGGGAGGAGGGTAGGATTTCAAACAAACCCCGCCGGGTGAGCGCACCACGACCCTCCAGCCTCAGTTTTTAAGCAGTTTTTCAATGTTACAAGAGGAGAAAAGGCTTTAAAGCATGACCAGGCTCCAAAGCAGTTTGGGGTTTTGCTCATTCCATCGGTCTTTAAGGCAGACTCATGCTTGCAGCTGCCTGACTCACCCCCCAGGAATGTTTTTCTGCAAAACAGTAAAACATCTGCACTGGGGCAGCTAAAAAAAACCCTTCACAGTTGATGCCCCCCCCCCAGGACACCTCCTCACCAGGCACTGACCCCAAACCCCCAGCTCTGTTTTACTTCTGAAGGTGTTTTGGTCCCGCAGGCGGATGAACAACCGGGAAGAAACCTGAAAGCATCTGTGATTGCACAAGAACCAGGAAATGAGATTGGCAGAGAGAGAAGCAAAACTTAATTAGCAATTTTAGTCCCCGGGTGGTGACATCAGTGGCAGCGGGCTGCGGGCAGGCCAGACGTCACCCACCCCATCGCCCACAGGCGCTGCCCTGAGCAGAGCCCGTGCGAAGGAGGTTGGCACCCGGGGATGTGCCCGAGGTTCCCTGGAGCAGCGGTGGCAGAGCCGCGCGGGTCTCCTGTGTGTCACCTGTGTCCTTGCTGCTGCCCGGGTGACGTGCAGGGTCTCCTGTAGCTGAAACTGGGGCACAGCTCGAAAGCAGCCACCTCCCTCTCTGGGGTGTTTTAGGGATACATCGATGAATGTGGTTGCAAAGCTCAGCATTTCCTCATTCCTCTTTGGAAATTGTCCCAAGTGGAGCAGCAGCGCAGGAGGAAACATACCCGTGGGTGTGCAACCCAGTGGCAGCGTTTCCTGGGGGCGTTGCAACACGCGGCCGAGCCAGCTCAAGTGACGGA